TTGATTGGAGACGAAGGTGGAGGTGGAGAGAGAGTCGAGAGATCGTGCGGCGTTCACTGCGTGCGACTAAATAAGTATTTCCGTTACTGACTGACCGACGAATGATCGAACGAAGAGGGAGAGGATCGGATGTTAAAGGTCTCCTGATGCTTTCTCTGTTTGCGCAGAGGTCGGAGGTCAGCTTGTCTGATAAGATATAAGTTGTCCACGACGAAATCCTAGGAAACTTTGCCTTTGTACGTAAGAGAGGCGTCAAAAGTGTCGTACGCATGGAAACCGTCAGCTTCGAACAGCGTTAAAATCATTTTCGCTGACTTGACTAAAAGAGAAGAAATAATGTTAGCTTTACTAAGGCATATTCTTACATTACAGTCCTGGCACTGAATGCACTTGTTTTAAAAAAAAAATACAGTTAAATGAGATGAGCTTGAGATAAATCGATTTGTTTGAAACAATTGCAAAAACAATTGCTGAGAAATAATATATAAATTAGGATTAATATATATAATTTTTTTTTTATGTTTTGTGACTATTCGAAGTTGATCATTTAGTTTTCCTTTATATAATTAAAAATACTTTTTTCTCTCTTTTTATTTAAACATTATACTATCGAATCTACATTAGCATACATTTATTGTTTTGGCTTCAATGCGATTATTTTTATTTTGTCGAATTATACATGAGAAATAAACGATAAATACATAGGAGTATCAAAGAGATTAAAAAGTACCATTATCGTTGCATAGATATATAAATGATTTAAATGCAACAATAATGAAAAATTAAACATGGGGAATCAGAGGAATCAAGGAATTAAGAAATTTCAGACCGCAATATAAAAATTAGTTTTTCTATCTGGAGACAAGGTAGTGTCTCGATGGTGGAAGGGATAACATGGTATATGCAGTTGGACGGTATCTTTCTCCGCCTCTCTGTCTATAGAGGTTCATGAATTTTAAGGATAATTGTAAAACGCGAAACATGGGGCGGTATTCATAGTCCATTTTTTATTTCAAAACCGTCTTAAATATAATATCTTAAGATGTTAATACAGTCCTTGGACTTACGATATCTTAAAATTATACTTAAGTCTTAAATAGAAGAATCGACTATGAATACTGACCTATTTCGTGAAATATGATACTGAATCTTTTCTTGTGCAAGAAAAAATCGGCGCATATACAATTCTGAGATATGTAAAAATACATGCATATTGATTGATGCATTACTCCGAACTTTGAAGGTAATTAGGTGTTATAGATGATGTATTCAAATCATCACATTATATAAATCCAATATACTTGTGCATTTAGTAATGCGACGTTTTGTATTACTATTAACAAATACGCAAATCCATGTAGCAATCGCATTATTTAATAACTGCTCGATTACTAATGTAACATTCGATCACATCACAACATTATTATATAAGGAATCCACTTCTTCGTTCATCTCATTTTAATTAAATGATTTTATATGATTTGAATGAGAAAGAATACTGTCACAAATATGCAAACGTATGAAAACACTAGTAGAAGAAAGTATTGTAATTTGAAATATCCTTGGCAGACAGACGATGTATGTTGACTTCAAAGTCTTTTATATTCTCTGTACAGCATTCACAAAAATGTCAACCCTTCATTTTCTGTTATTTAATGATGTTATAAAACGTATCTGTGAGATAAGTAACACATTAAAACATCATTCCGTATAACAAATTAAACTAACCAAGACTCCTTATAAATCAAAGAACTGGAAAAGACACGGGCAGTAAGAGTCAAGCGCAGAAGACGTCGCACAAATAATGTTATATCTATGAAGTATGAAACTTCTTTATTCACTAAAAAGGTTAGCGCGTTCCACACTTCATAGATATATTATTTGTATCCTACTGTTCATATCCTTTCCAATTCTTAAAATGTCATTGTTATGACATACCTTATCAAGCTTTCATATTTAATTGTTAACTAAGGAAACCAATAACATTTATGAAAATGGATCGAATCTTATAATTAAATATGATTATAATTAAATATGATTTATTATACATGAAGACAGTAAAAAGCAAATACATACATACATACATATATATTTGTCCTTATTCTAATTAATATTAATTTAGAATGCAATACACACACACACACACACACACACACACACACATACACACACACACACATATATACAGAGTATTTGGAAAATAATAATAAATCTTTTGCATAAAGGTAGAATGGACTAAACTGAGAGAAGAAAAGTCCTCCACTATTTTGCAATTTTCGCAATAGTTAACAAGATATTAATTGCTAAAAATTGCCTAAACGAATACTTTTGATGATAGTTCAATCATACAAACATAACAAACATTTCATATCCGATCGAGTCATTTTCAATATTAGTATAAAAAGTCGATTATAAAATTTTTTAACAATAAATTAAAATATGTAATAAGATAAAATATAAATTAAAATCTAAAGTATTCTAAAAATCTTTTTGTTGAGCTTGTTTAATTATAAAATGCCTTGTTTCTACTGATACAATAATGGAACGCCTTATTAGAGCTGCGCTCTTTTCACGTTTCCTATTACCCGCGTGGTGATTTCTAGTCCAAACCATCCGAGCTCAGATGAGAATATTACCAGAGCGGAAATTGCTCAGTTAGGGAAGATATAAGATTCAAGGAGAACGATTTGGAAATGTTGTTAGATTTGAAAGGGAAAGAATCGACGAATACTTGAAGCGGATGAACACTCAAGATTCGCGATTGCAAAAGAAAGAATTGACGAATTCTTGGAGCAGATGAACGCTCAAGATTTGTGAGGAAAAGAGAGAGGATTGATAATTGAGACAGATGATTTGGATAGATTATTATAGCGATTAACCTTGTTCTAAGATTTTTACAAATTTATTACTAGTTGACTTACATTAGGCTTTAAAGTAAAAAAGTGGCATCAACTGCGGAGCCCACAACTAGGGCAAGAGATGTACGGAGTGCGAAGACGATCACACAGCATGGTCACGATTATAAATTGATGTACGAACATTGAGTAAAAGTTACTTGGTTTTTCGTTCTGGCCCTACGCTTCTGCGAATTCTCTATTTATATCTCGAAAAAAGAGCGTACCCTTTGTCTAGGATGCAATTGTTGCAGTGTCGCGCAAGATTTACGATTTTTATAAAGTCCTATCGTTGTTGATCTAAAATGCATCGTTAGAGGAGTTTCAATATGAAAAGAAATGATTTACGTTTTTTTTTAAAGCGATTAGAATGCTCTTGGTAAATGATGAAGTTTGTTATCTCGCAGAAAAATATATTAGGTAAACACTCGTTTATCGTGCCTAGCTAGTTTTGTGTGCAGGATAATAAGAAGAAATTTTAATTTTTCACATTTCGCATCTATATAGAAACACGTTACATAATCAATACCTTCAATCAAAGAAGTTAGAAGAATTGCATTCTTCTTAAAACTATTTAAAAAAATTATTTTGAAAGTAATCTTACTTCGAAGACTTTTGAGCAAGTTTCTTGCTTCCACCTTCTCCTTTGGCCACCAGACAATCGCAGCATACGTCAATCTTGGTAATAATATCATTTTGTGTAGCCTGGGTTTTTTCCCCAGTTCCAGCCCATGACTCGTCTACAAGCCCACATAGAGATGTAGAGCTCTTATCTTCAAGGTGTGTTTTCCAGTTCAGCTTAGGATCCAGAGCTACTCCTAGATAGTTCACTGAATTAGTGTAATTAATTTCCTTGTCCCAAAGCCTCAAATCATAGATCTGCCCTCCCTGTACTGGGAGGAGTTCACCGGCCGAGTAAGAAGGGCATTGTTTTTCAGATATCTATCAATTAGTCTCTCTTAGTAAAAATGAAATGAAACTGATAGGTCTGAAGTCTTTAACCACAATGTGACCTTTTCTCCCTGGCTTGGGTAAACATCACTCTGATGTCACTCCATGCCTAAGGGACGTAAAACTATTTTGTTTTAAAGACTATTTAAGTATTATTCAAAAATATTAATTATCATGTGTCATTTAAGAATAGAAATGCTATAAAATATTTAGTATTTTAAATTACGAGTATACACATTATTATATTAATTATTATTATTTTAATATAATAATGTTTTTTTTATATATATATATATCATAAAAATCAATAATTTCATATTTATGTTTATTCGTAATTTATTTATGCTTCATATGATTAAATAAAAATGAATGTGAAGTTTAAAATGGAATGTGAAGATAAAATTTTATGTTATAGAAACAAAATTGCATAATTTAGTAAGCAAATATGTATTGACAGATACATATGTGAATAATAAATATAACACAATAAAACGAGTTAAATTGAATACAGAAGTTCTCTATTATTTTGTAATTTCCATAATATTAATTAATGAAAAACTGATTAATAAAGGTCAATGCATGATCGTTCATTATGCGTGATTTAACGATAAATAAACCTCATTACGCATTATACATAAATGCTTATACAAATAGACATACACCAGTATTTTGTTACACGCGAAGCAATCGCCGATACTACACATTGACTTAGTTTTTCTTATTTGACAGAGGAGGAGGGAGGTGGAATGGAAGTCATTTTGCACGGAATTCGTGTACCTCTAAGCAACGAGGGAAAAGATGAAGTGGGAATCGCTTTTGCATGAAAGTCGTGCGTTCCTAAACAAAGGAGGTGCTTCTAAATAAGAGGATGCTTAGCCAGATTGCGCAGCAAATGACTGTCAAAATGAATCTTGTCGATAATTTTCATGATCATATTTGTAATTAGCATACCAAAATATAGTAGTAATCGATAATAAAATCGAAGAGTTTACCCTTTCAGAAGTTTACCCCATTTTTTATTTATAAATATTTATTTGATAGAGCGCCATATTCGGTTACATCACAATAATATTATAAACATTTTATAAGATATCTTGAGCGCGTCATTCATTATGGTATGTGGACATTAAATTTGTTTCTTGACGAGTAAAAAAGAAGTATATTCGAATAAGTATTTTCATACATTTTTATTCGAATATTAAACGGACATCTTTATAAAGTTCCCGAAAGTAAGATTTCTTATCTCTTTTGCTGTGAAAAATATATTAAATTCTCGTTCCAGAGTTTGTTTGATTTCTATGATTATCACAGAATCCATTCCAAGTTCGATCAAAGATGAATTTGGATTTATAGCCTTTATGTTACTTAGATCTGTATAATAATTATATAATAATATATATAGTAAAAAATTATTATGATCCATATTATAGTGCATTTTTCGTAAACTGCAAATAAATAAATACAAGTATTTGCATAAAAAAGTTTCCGTAGGAATACCTACTTAAAATATTAGCAACTGTTTCTATTAGACTTCCACATCTCATTGTTTTTTCAGCTAGAACCATGCTGCTCACAATCGGCCAGCTTTGAAGTAAGAACTTATCGAGCTCGTTGAGACAAGATGATATCTTTTGCCGTAAAGTGCCATTGATAATTATTTCCTTATTGTTCTTCTGCACGTCTCCGATAAGACCCACGTCACCAATAGCTCCCCACTGAATCACCAATCCAGGTAATCCTTCTTCCGCTCTCTTCTCGCAAATTCTTTCCATGATGGAGTTGGCCATACCATAATTAGTCTGTCCAACGTTTCCTCTGCCGCAAGAAACAGAAGAAAATACTACAAAATGCCGCAGTTTCAGACAGATTTTCCTAGAAAGTGTGTCCAACGTTTGCGTTGCTCGAGCCTTCGGTTGGAAGGGTACTGCAAATGTTTCTGCTGTTTGATTCTTGAGGACGTTGTCCTTCAGCTCTACACTAAGATTGAATATTGCATCTACCGGTGCTTCTTTTTCCGCAGTTCGTAAAAGATATTCGCAATCTTTCAAATCAGCAACATCAATATTCTTGATAATCAAAACGTTTACACCATATGACTTCCATAATCGAATTTTCATACGTTGATAACCGTTTTTTATTCCATTTCTTGAAATCAGAATGACATTTCTGGCACCACGAAATATAAGCCAGTCGGTTAATTCTAAGCCAAATCCGCCCAGACCTCCTAGTATAATGTAATTCCTATCTCTGAGACAATAATAGCGACGATATGCGAGAATATGCTTATTAAAAGGTTCATCCTTTTCGTGAATATTTATCATTATCTAGAAAAATAATCATATTTTAAAAGTGTTCAATATAGGTATGTGAAATAAGTTTATATAAAGATATTTATAAATAAATTTATTTACTCTTTGTTACTATTAGTCAGTATAAGCATACCTTTCCCATATGCTTTCCATTCGCCATGTACCTAAAAGCTTCTTCGATATTTGTTTTAGGAAAAATTTTTAGTACTTGAAATGGTTTGATTGTTCCATTTTTTAGACCATCGGCTATCATTTTGGACAATAGGGCCGTATACTTGCGATTACCAGTGAATATATTCTCCAACATAATTCCATAAAAGCTAATACCTTTTTGAAACATGCACCTACTTAAAGGATTATTAGAAACAAAATCAAATTTGCCAATCTCTAAAAAACGACCGTTTTGCGCCAAACACCGAACGGATGCGATTAATTTTTCTTCCACCAATGAATTTAACACGATGTCGACTCCGCGATCTTTTGTTTGCTGCATTATCATTTGTTCAAAACTAATATCTCGAGAGTTTCCAATATGTCCATCCGAAATGATGGGAAACATTTTTTTAATAAAATTCCGTTTATCTTCCGTGCTTACGGTAGTAAACACCTCGCATCCTTCGTTGAGAGCGAGATGAATAGCTGCTTGTCCAACGCCGCCAGTTCCAGAATGTATAAGTACTTTATCGCCTTTTTTCATTTTTCCATAAATGTATAAGGCCATGTAAACTGTACTGTAAACACATGGAATCGTTGCCGCCTCTTCAAATGTCCATGCGTCGGGTATTTTCCAACACAGATCTTTATCTTTTACAACGACGTTTGCTATAGAACTAGAAGGAATAATTTTCATTTAGTTTCAATTTTGATTTATGATATTGCATACTAATTTTATAATTTTTCATACTAATTTGGGATATTATTTACTCAGTATCACAAATTCCCATTACGCGTTGTCCATTAGCATCCCATCCCGCATATTCCATTCCAAGAGGAAAAGACTGAAATAATCGTCCTTTTAAAATCGCCTCATGAGATGTTAATTTACCAGTTGTAAACATTACATCTCTAAAATTCAGAGATGAATAGATAACGTGCACTAAATCCTCACGACGAAACATGATTGATCGATTATTTTCTATCCAACAGAATGTACTTAAATCACCCCGAACCTATGAAGGAACAAAATTTTGTGTACATAAAACAGAATTTTTAATAGAAACTTCATGAATGAGTATTTAACTTTCTGTTATGTAAAATTTTGCATTTAAAAGATAAGATATAATGTTACTACAATGATAGCGACATGTCTTGAAAAGATTTGTATGTACCATTTGACAAACATGAGCGGTAGATACAGGTCTGGCTTCGGATTGCATTAATTTTAAATATCTGTACGATCCCCAAGTTTTATTAGCTCGCAATACATTAATGGTCATATCTTTTTCTAATTGTTGTACATAAAAAGGATCTTGAAGAGAGAATTTAGGAGCTTCTTCGTCTTGAACGAATACACTCCTAACACGTTCACTATCTGATTCCTTTCTTAAGCAATTAATAAAACCTAATAAACCACATTTAAAATCTCCCTCTCCTACAATTATAATTCTGCTATTCTTATCGAGCTTGTTCTCATCGCTCAAAAGCTGCTTTAAATTCTCTAGCCAATTAAAGTTATCATTGTTTATGTAGACAATAATTCTTTCTTTCACAGAAAATTTTTTTTTCAGAAGCACAATCATTTCTTTATCAGTGCGCTTTTCAAGAATAACATTTAATTCATATTGTTGTAAATATTTCTTATAGTCAATTACGTTACATTTTTCACGCGTTAACAAGTAACCATCTTCTCTTAGAAATGATAATAGTCGCTTTAACGAAGATTGTTTTTTGCTCAAAAGGTTGAATCCAGCAACTATCAGAGCTTTGTCATTTATAGATGATTTCTTGAAATCTTCGATTGAAATATTTGGCGATAAGTCTGCTGGATTGAAACGATTCGGCGATGTTAATAAAGTGATATTCGTTTGTATCAATGGAGTTTCATCGAATGCTTTAACTAGCAATGAAGATGAGAGACATTCTACTGCAACATCATCTTCATCTTCCACTAGCTCGACAGCTTTCACTTTGACAATTTGATGATTTTCCACTGCGAGTTGCACCGCTATTCGAATTGCTTCATATAAACAAATCTGAGCGCGATCACAATGAGCTACAAATGTATATATTTCGGTAACAACATCTTGAGCTAATTTCTGGCGAGTAATTTGAGTGACTTTAAGACCTTGTATTTCTACTCCGCCAGCTGTAATCATGTCTATCTCTTTGTATATTTGTACCTGTAATTCTGTAATAAGATATCTAAAATAATTTTGAGACTTTCATGGGTATTATCTTTAGAGGTACCAAAAAATTTGTGAATTATCATCATGTTGTAATCTATTATAAATGCCAATATTTTGAATCTTGCCGTTCATTTTATCAGGGCGAGGAGCGCACTAGAATTGACATTAGTAATGGATTACAATATAGCGATAATCCGTAAACCTTGACATCTCTGAAGACATCTAAAGTGTAATATATTTTATGTAATAGAGATTTTATTTATACTATATTTCAGTATCAAACAAAATCTGCCTCTTTGTTAGTAAATGAAGCATTACGATTTTTTATTTTTGTTATACCTTCTACATCATTTGTGTTGTTTCGTAACTTTTGATTGTGAAGCATGGGATTGATCACTAATTTTTGGATACTCGTAAGAACACACAAATCTCTAGTATCATATCCTAAAGTATTAATCTGTAACATGGCATCTATAAACGTTATCCAGTTATTTCTCCAAATAATATGTCCTTTTTTGCCTGATATAGAGGCACTCTTTAATCCACGAAACCAGCAACTATATTGGTAACCGCGCAGTTTCAATTCTTTGTAGATATCTTGAGCAGTCATATGTTCTTCTTCATCATTCTCCCATAATAGATCTGTCGAAGTCATTTCGGGATTTGACGTCTCGTACACTGTTCCTATCACAACAACTCTATCTTCTTCGGTTATTTCAAATTTTCCATCTGTAATATTTTTATATATTCGTTTATACACATAATTTTTACAATTATTACTATTTTTTTATGTTAACTTATCTTGTTAATACCTTTTTGAATTATAATTTTTAATTGTATAGCATTATGTTTCGATAAATGGATAGCATGAATAAAATTTACATCTTGAAAAATTATCGGTATTGTTGTATGCATTTGTCCTTTCATCATGCCAATAGTTTCCCAAACGAATACAAGATAACTCGCCGTAGGTAGTAAGTTTTTTTCATCAATTATATAACCGCTCATATATTCGTATTCCAAATCGTCGAGTAAAATTTCAATATATCTTTCTCTGGATTTTATAGATTTTTTACAGCATGGTATAAACCAATCTTCGGAATGGTCCCATCTAGTAAGATGTTAAAATATGTTAATTTATTTATTAAGGAAGAGACTGAGGTAAGTTACAATTTTTGTTTAGCAATTTTTTTCCGTACTAATATATACATTTAAATTAATGAATGACCACGCATTTTGCTTCAAGTACATAGATGAGATCAATTTCTTTCTGATTTGTATCTGTCTTTAAATACTGAAAATTTTCTACCAGTAGATAAATTGTAACAACTTATTCCATTGTAGGACAAG